CCCCGACTCTTACTCTCCCCAGCCTCCTCCAGTCACCAGTCCCTCCTCATCTTCTTACTGTCACCCCAAAACTCGTGATCTTCTGTGTACTAGCTCCCTTCATCCTTCCCTCAGTGGTGCCCCTGCTTTTGTACCAAACCCCCCACCCAATATCAATGGGGTTTATGCACAATGTAGTTTTTGCCCCTCTTACAACAAAGGGACGGTAGATTTAATCTTCTACCCGTACCTGCTAGTTTGCCCCCTCTTGCTATTTATAGACCGCAAGTTCTCTGCTATCTGGGCTCTAAGAACAGCGATTTAGGCTGTGAGTTCCCCTCACACCTCTTCTCCCCTTCTCCAGGCCACTCTGCAAAGAAATGGCAGTTACAGACAAACGAAGAGCTTTACTCCATTTACTGCAAGACGCACAGAAGAGCAGAAACAAAAAGATGGGAAACCCTCGGGACCCCTATGGCCTTCCTTAACACACCTTCATCCCATCTTCCGTGCCTGCTCTGCACACATGGTGCCTGCAGACAACGGCTTAGGAAGGATGTGCTGCCTCCTCCAGCAAGACCCTGTGTGGGATACTGGTTAGCCAAAAGCATGATGAGCTTCCCATCACCTGCCCAGGGGTGGCTGGGGAAGTAAAGCCTCTTAGATACGATCTTCTCCTGTCCAAGGGCTGGGAGAAGCAGTTCGGAAGAAGACTGTCTTCTGGCCTGATTGGTAAGAAACGATCTTTCTAAGAGGGTGGGTGACAGCACAGTGAGTTACGCACAAGCAGCTTTTAGCTTTGGGGTTAGAGCTGGGTTCAGGAGCAGCCTGTGATCTGGAATAAGAAATGAGATGTGCTCAGGGAGAGCGGTGAGCAGAGATCCAGGCAGTGCAAACTGCCCTCTTGCTTTGCAGGGCGTTTGAGACAAAGGAAGAACAGACAAGACTTCTTCTGGCCTTGCCAGCTGCCAGGAGCATCCCAGCAAAGCTCAGGCACACATCAAGGCCTGATCTTTCTGTGAAGCTGCTGCCTTCAGAGACAAAACCAACACAGCTGGGTCAGCTTGGCCTTCATGAGAACAAAAGAGACAGAGAGGGAACGCACTCACATCCCAAATGCTGTTTCCTCTGCAAGAAACAAAAGATGTAGGTTAAACCACTCTCATGCTATCAAGAGTAACATACTGTGGAGATCAATGGCTTCTTGCCACTGCAACCAGCAAGGACTACCCAGCGAGGGGTATGGAGAGAGACTACCACCAGCAGGACTAGCACAGGGACACAGAGACTTAACTCAGGCCCAAAAGGTGGACTTCACAAAGGTCAGAATCAAAACTGCTTCACAAGCCCAAGAACGTTTGACAAAAATGGTGGTGGGGGGGTTGTACATAAATATTCCCTGATGTCTGTGTCAGAAGCACAAGAGAGCAGCCAGGAAGCACAACGACCTCCAACGGGAAATGAAGATCAAGGAAGCTGGCTTCAATGGCCAAAAGATAGGGCAGAAAGTAAACAAACCGCACAGATGGGAGAAAGGGGATTTTTCACATTCCTTTGGTTTCAATAAACTATGCTCTTGGGCAACAGAGGGGAAAACATCCTCTAAAACATGATTTTTATTTTGACCAGGACCCTATATAAAAACTATACACTGGAAGTGCCAAAGGTGACTATGTGAACTCCTCTGCGGCAGTGGCACGGTTTTGCTTGCCTGGCTGAAAACATGCCTGTGGACTGATACACACACGCTAACACAGATGCATATTTATAACATACAGCACAAGCACTGCTTCACTTGCCTACGCATCCAACACCTAACGACCTAGGCTAATCACCTGCCAAAGCCAGAAGTGGCAGAGTTAATGGTGGAGCCTGTGGCTTTCCTCATCCCAAGAATTACAGGGGACCTTGGAGTGAGTGAGTGTGTGTGCACGTGTGTGTGCTTGTGGTGTGTGTGTGCACTATGCCACATGTCCCCTTGCCCATCACAGGCCAGGCTGAGGATGGCTGCGACTCCCAGAAGGATGCAGGTGTCTGGGTTTCTGCGGCACTACGAGTGTGGGTGGGCTATTGAGTGCAATGTGGTCATTTAGAGGAGCCAGGCTGGAGCTCCAGGAGCAGTGTGCGGAGGAGGAGCTGCTGGTGGAGCCACCGGAGCTTGCTCAGCCCCTTGGGGAAGCATTCTCCAACACAGCACAGCCAGGCTGTGGCTCCTGGGGCGGCAGGGAGAGCCTCCCCTCCCACCCTGCAGGAGAACTTGGGTGGCATTCGGGAACACGCTTGCTCATGGTTACTAGTGACATCTGTGGAGAAGTGAGTGTGGCCTAGAGTCAAAATGTCCCTGTTGCAGATGGGGATGCTGCCAGGACTTCAAGGGTCAAACCCAAGGGCTTGGTTTGTCTCTGTGTGGAGTGTCACCACCTGCGCTGCAATATCACTGCAGATGCCACTGTCAGCTGGGAACTGGCACATACAGCAGCTTTCATCCTCCTGCCTGTCACCAAGAAAATCTGTGCAGAAGTTGATGACCCGGGATGTATGATACTCTTGTGTGGCATCATCCCTGGAGCTGCTCTGCTGAGCTTGAGAGTTCCTTCTCTGAAGGACGCAATTCAGCCAGGGAGTAAGTGATTTGGAGCAGCTCGTGAGACGGGCCCTGCAAAGAAAAGGCCTGAGGTGCAGGGCAGGAGGAAGGCTTCCCCCTCTTCACAGTATCTCTCCTTTGTGTCAGTGGGACTTTCTTCTACAGTTCTCCCCCAGGCAGACCCCCCAAACACACCTCCCAGAGCCACGGGAAGGGGTGTTTCAGAGGCTGTCTTCCCAGCTGAAGCTGAATTCAACTACACAACTCACACTTCAAGCCAGGCATAATTCCCCCCCTCCCCTGTTACTCCCCCCACCTCCAGGCAGACAGAGCCTGACACCTTCTCCCACCCCTCAGTGCTTACAAGAGCAAGAAGGGAGGAAGGAAACTGCAAGACAGACACAGCGGTGCCTTTGAAGCCCTGGGAGTAGAGATGGTTCCTAGGAGGTGATGGGGGTGAAAGGCATTGACAGCAGCTCTGTGAGCTGTGAGCCAGGCAGGCGGTGCTGAGCAGGCTGCAGCCAGAGTCTGCTCGGGTGCTTGACCCTCCCTGAAGCGGCTGGTTCCAACTCAAAGAGGTGCTGTGTAGGGGGAGAGTATGGGCAGGTTGATCTCTTGGAAGGGAGCTGCAACGGGGATTAGTCAGCCTTGTCCTTCTTCTTTGCAGTGAAAGGGACTTTGCTGGCGACCGCGCTGCCCACAGCTCCAACACCGCCAGTGACTGCTGAGACGCTGCCCTTCACCAGTCCAACGCCAGCAGCGGGGACGCTGGTCACAGCTGTTTTGGTGAGCTCCAGGCTTTTGCTGCCCACCCAGGCGACTCCTCCCAACGTGGCTCCCACGGCTCCCCGGGTGATGCTGAACAGGCCGCCCGTCACTCTCCAGATCACCCCTGCCTGCTGCTGCGGATGGTCCTTGCTGGCATCTGTGGGGAGAGAGAGACAGGGGAAGTCAGAAGTGTCCATGCCAAAGGGCCTGAACCCTCTTCCTCCAGCCCAGGAGGGTTTTTCACCATTTCACATGCTCCTGTTTGCACAGTGCCTTGCAGCCCCACATTTCCTGGTGCCCAAAGGAGGAACCAGGGCGATGCCAGCCCTACAGCATGGCAGGAAAGGACTTTGGGAGGGTGGACAGTGGGAGAATTGCCCACAGGACAGAGAAGGGAAGAAGGTGGCTCAGTTACAGCCCCAAATTTGCAAGTCTCAGTGCTGCAATGCATAGAGATATAATTCCCCTCCCCTACGTGTTGGCCAATGTCAGTAAATCAAAGACTAATGCCAGCATAGGAGGCACGAACTGCAGACAGCAACGGCTGACGTTGGCACGGCCTGCGGGTCCTCAGAAGCATCTGTTTGGGGGCAGGTCTGCACTAATGTCAGACAAGGGACCGAGGCACAGCACAGACCTATCTGCAAGAACTGTAATTGAGCCAGCACAGATAGCAACCTGCGGGAAAGATACAGTGACACAAATGTCACCTCGGGTTGTACAAGCCCTCTGGAGATCTCAGCTATGTATTTAATAGTGTTAAGACAGTGCTTAAGTTGCTACACGATGTCACGGCTGCTTTACCTGTGCCAACTGGATCAAGGCCAGCACCACATACCCACCCAAGCTGCCATTGCACCTGCCCACAACACTGCAGACGTGACGTTCACAGCTTGACGCTTCTTGGGAAAGGGCTGACTCTGAGCTGCTACTCACGGGATTCAAACCTGACAGCTCTCCTGCCGTCCGCCGCACAATCCTCTCCCTTTGCATCAGCTAACAAGGCCGCGTGCAAAGGAGGAGCTGCTCTTTTCGTGGAGCGAGATATTTTGGATACTCTGACTTCTGATTCATTGCCAGTTCTGAACATGAGATGAGTTACTAATAATTGCAAAAATACAATAAAGCAATCCTGGCAGGAAAGAAAGGAAGCGCCAGCTGGGAATACAGAATCCCTGGAGCAGCAGCAGCCCTTCTAACCCATTACCTACTCAGAAGAGAGGTTGCACAGCACTGACGCAGCAGGAAGGCTTTAGCCCCCTGCTAAATGCGCACCCCATTTCCTGAGAAGAGCAGAAACGACAGGGATGGAAATGGCTTTCTGAAAGCCTGCATAAAACCATGGTGCAGTCACGTTTCTGCAGAGAGCCCGGACAGGGGCTGTGTCAGCACCAGCCAAGGTCTTGGAGCACTGCAGAGGCTCCACCAGCACCCAAGGAAGGAGCCAGTCTGCACTGCACAGCCCTGCGCACACCCGTTCCCCAGCACGGTCACAGGGACCGCCCTGGCATCTGGCCCTGGGACCGCCCCAGCTGTGGCATCCCTGTTCCGCCAACACCCATGTAGGCAGTGGATTTCCTTCGCCAGCAAGCAAAGACCTCGGGAGTGCTGGGAGACTGGCCCAACCGCTCATCACGGTGCGGGGCCCTCAGACACTGCACATCCTGGTTGATGGAGATGTCAGACCTCATCAGTCTGAGCAAACATCTTCCTCTTACTGTTACTAACCGGTCTCACGCCGTGTCTTTACCACATCTGCTATTCAGTGCACTTCTGCCAAGCTATCCTGCGAATCCTTTGGAGCAGAGACCATCTTCCCGTTGTCCGCGAGTCACACAACACAGTAGGGTTTCTAATTGCTGCTGGAAAACAAGCTTTTTTCTTTTTTTTTGAACAAACCAACCAGAATTCTGACAGAAAACACTCAACAGCAGCAGGGCATGGATTTTATCCTTGGGAGCACCAGCTGCCCCGGAGTGCTGGATGCACACGGCTGAAGGGACAATCTGACCTTGCCAAGTGGATCAGAGCTGCTGCCGGTACTACAGGCACCGGGGCGGACGGGAGGCCAGTCACTCACACCGGGGACTCTCACATTGCACCATGTTATCTGTGAGAAAGGAGGATCTTCCAGGCCTCTTAGGAAACAAACTAAGAAGTCTTCATATTCAAATGGATAACTTTCAGGCACTTAACACAGAAGTTTAAGTAAGGTGATCCGATTCCTCTGACTCCACTTCTAGCCAGGGAAGAGAAGGGGGCTGTGTACAGCAGCCTAACCTAGACTAGGCACGAGCCTGAATTACGCGGTGTTATGACCCTTTCCTGGGTATTTTTGTCATTGATGCTTCTAAAATTCTGCAGATTTTATAGTCTTCTCGGAGTCATATGTTTTTGCTTGAGCTTCTCCCAGGCTATACAGAGCTCTCCCTTGCGCAGGTCTCAGGACAGTGCCTGTGAGGGTTTGGTGTTCACCATCTCTGATGACTTGGAATAAGCCTTAGGTTACACATCTCTCTGATAGTCTGGGCAGCAAAATGGAGCTTGAGAGGGACCAGTACGGAGTTTCTGGTGTAGCCTAAGCAGCTACAATTCTACCCATGTTACTTGCCTATTCCTCAACAATTTCTCTTTTTTTTTCCTCCTCTCTCTCTCTGCTACTGGGACCCCTTGGCTCCATTTCCAGTTCAGTTGCCAGCCCCTCCACTGCTGCACACAGGTTATCCAGTACAGACACTTCTGTGTTTTGTCTTCAGACTGGGGATGGGAAGAACAGTAGCTGTAAAGCAGGACTCAGAGAAAACCAGACTGGTCCTCCAAACAAACACCATCCTCCAAGGATGGCAGCTCTTGTGTTCCCGCTCCCCTGTCCAGGGAAGCAGGATCCTTTGTGTCCCAGAGGACTGCAATGCAGAAGCTCTGGGCATTAAACACCTCCTGGCATGCTCAGCTGGAGAACCAAGAGCTAAATCAAAGCAGCAATAATCTTCCTGGCTCTCCCCACGTAAACCTGCATCTGAGGCTACCCAGAACCCCTCCGTAGGAGAATGTAGGCCCCTGGAGCTGCCCAGCTATCTGTACAACACTAGTGTGAAAATCTCTTAGATGATATGTGAATGCCTGCAGGTGGGTAGCCGAGGGACCAGAGAGAAGGAGGCATCTGCAGAGGAGACTGAGGGGGGATGTTACTCTGCCAGCAAAGAGCTAAAACATACTGGAGAAAGTGTCAGGAAATACTAATGAAGAAAGACAAGGACAAAGGTTCTTTCTGATTAAGCTAGTCAGAGACAACGAAGCTGCAGCACACTGGAGCACCAGTGCTCGCACACTGCCTGCACCTGGTCTGCAGACACTCACATGGTACTCAAACCTCCACAGGCAGCAGGGAGGAGGGATGGAGGACCTGGCCCTAAGAGGTTGGGAGGCTGTTCCAGAAGCATTCCAACAGCTCCAACACAGAACAGAAGCTGTACTGTGAAAAAAAGCCAAACTCAGGTTTGAATAGATCTGAAAAGAGAAAGAGAAATCCTTTGTGACCCCAACCCCGAGGGGCCACATCCTAACCTGTCAGCAAGCTGAAATAGGTCGTATTTGTTCTATACTCCAGATGATCTGTCGAAAGCTTTCTAGCCATCCCCGGTTAGTTTGTCTTCAGGACTGCAATAAACCCCACAGTAAGCTGTCATGTAAGATAAGCATCAGATTTACAGTGCAAATTAGTCTCTCAGACAATGGAGTGAA